TTTTTTTTCCTTTCGTAGTCCTTTAAGCAACCGACAAGACAAGACGTCTTATTGACACTGTTATAGCCTTGTTGAATGCAATCAATACCTCAACGATTATTGAAGAAATCCTAGATGTTTTTAATTTTTTTTATTAACCAGAATAACTTTTTGTATTATAATTTCAAATGTTTAATCATTACACTTAGTTTAACTTTTTTTAACAAACGTTTGCATTTTATACAGATTTTCATCAATTAGTAAACTATAAAAACTATTACTAAACAAAATGTTAAGTACATTTTTTTATTTTTGTTCCTCATTCTAACATTGAGTAAATCTTAAGTACAGTAGAATGTTAACTATCCGCAATAAAAATGTTTAAATGAATACATATATATATAACACTAGCTGAATAATCCGGTGTTGCCCGAGAAAATTATTGTGTGTTCAACTCCATTTGGGTATAACTTGCTGTGGAATCAAAATGCCGATAATAGTGCAATCACACACAAGCATACATTATATAACACACATACACTACCTGTTATTTATTATTTGGCAAGCGAATTTATAATATTAATTATTATACTATGTACATCGTGTTTATATAATCGTGTCATAATAAAATAATTAAAATATAGTCTCTAGACCTAGCGATTTAGGTTGTGTATATATCAAACTTTTAACCACTTTTTCACTCCTTTAGGGATCGAATTTAGAAAAATACTTTCCGAGTGCTCGCTTACAGTGTAGAAGGAACTTTTGCGCAAAATTTCAAGTGTCTAGACCCAGCGGTTTAAGCTGTTGATACATCAGTTTATCCTTTTATTTATATTTATTTCTGCACGTGTATTGTAATAACCAGAAGTTGACAAAAAATTAATAATATGTAGTATTTCGAATACAAATTGTAAAAAAAATTCTAATCGGAGAAATGTTGAAATAAAATGTTGCCTATTAAATTATAACTTATTATAAGGCTATGACACATGGTCATGGTCGTACTTGACGTATTAACAATGCAAGTAGCTTCAGCGGAAAAGGCTCGAATTCAAAAAAATCCTATCAAATATAATTTTTAAGCCCTATATATCCCTCTTTCTAAAAATATGGTCAAGAAATTATATTTCCAATTTTGAACCCCTTTTAACCCTTTTAAGGGTTTAACTTTCGGAAATACATTCTTAAGAATTCAGTATATCATGAAACAAAACTACTAGTTAAATTTTATAATCATAGCTTCAGCGATTTCGGCTAGGCGATAATGAATCACCCAGGACAAGTTATTTTATATACACAGAAGAAAGACAGATTACACACCTGGGTATTTACCTACATTTAAAAAACTTAATTTAAAATTATCGAATTCATAAAACCTTAATAATTTTATAAACATTATTATAATTATATATTACACATACATTAGTTTTATTTTGCAATTTAAAACATTTTATTTTTAATTATGTAAAACATATTAATTAAATTTGCTAATCATTATTTGATAATCCACAATTCATAGGCGTAACTAGGGTTTTATTTTCGGGGGATTAATTTTTTGGTAGTAATTGGTAAATGACTTACTTTTTAATTTGTGTCTATTCCTATTATATGGAAGATAAATTAACACTTAGGGTGTTTAAGCCCCCCCCCCGCTCCCACTTAATTGCGTCTATACCCTAGGTCCAACTTAGTACTGATAATTGATGCTTAATACTGTATGTTGTACATAATAATACACAATATTATAATGATTCTTATGTTGTACAATATCATTGTATTCACCTTCCATTTGACATGCACCTATTAAATTTCTGCGAGACGAAGACAGTAAAAATCATATTCACGGTCGTCAAAATCATAGCATAATATATTCTACATTTTAATGCAGCAGAGGACACATAATAAAGATAACAGTTTATTATACTGAAAGCAATTATTTTTAGTTCCTTATGACTTATAAGTTAAACTAATCTACATAATAACCACCGGAACGCAGATACAAGTGAATTACCGTGGCACCGATCTCTCTCCAAGGTAATAAATTCGAATGATGTTCGTAAGGACCAACAAGGACTATTGGTTTAATATCGTCTGAAGCAAAATCCATCGCATGTATTAACTTATGTACGGCACCGGTACATCCACTACCGACGAATATGACCGCGTCGTCTTCTGAAGCATGAACTGCGTTTCGAACAATATCGCGGGCTTCATGTCTAAACAAATTTTAAAAAAATAAAAATATTGAAGTGTTCAATATCGATTCAATAATAACTATATATACAGGGTATTTCTGAAATGGTTGAGGAAATTAGAATACGCGTACCCTCTGGAGTGGCCAAATTAAAAATATTTTGAAAATATTTTTCTATCTTCAAAACCTGGGTTTTATCTAATTTATAATTATCTTATTATTAACCTTTATTAATTATCTTTAGAAGATTATTTTGAGTAAAAATGAATACTTGTAAGAGATTTTTTTGCAAATTTCTCATGTAAATCGATATGTGACATCGATTTGGGCTTGTCGCATGTTTTTTACACTTGAGTCGCCAAGATCAAAAGATATGGTGTGACATATCGATTTGTACGAGAATTCTGCAAGATAAACAAAGGTGACATTTATTTGTTGTTACTTCATATATCAGATTAATCAACATGGTTTTCATTGAAATTCGTTTATATTTTGTTTAATTATGATTATTTTACAATAAAATACGTGTTGATTAATGTCACATATCGATTCACCATAGGCGGACATGGGGGGGGGAGCGCTTGAAGGTGGCTTAGCCCCCCAAAATCGAAACTTTGTTAGAAATGTTATTCATTTTTTTTATAATTATCTGTTGGTTTTTTTGAAAATCGTTTAATAAAAAATTATAAAAACTATTTACAATAGCATTAACAATACTAATTAATTCGGCTACTTGCGAAAGAAGTTTCAGTGCAATGAAAAAAATAAAAACTTGACTAAGGTTCAGCAATCTTTCAATACTATATATTGGAAAAGATATATCGAAAAATATAAAAAGCGATGATATTTTTAATATCTTTGCTGATACAAATAGATATTTGTCATTAAAATAAAATATTAATTATTTTTAAATATACGTTATTTAGTATTTTTTTTTAATACAATTTAAACATATCTATATTTTTAATAGTAATAAGTTTTACTTGTGCATGAAAAGGGAGTGAGGGGGCGAAGCCCCTGCGGGTTATTTTACATTGAATTATTATAGCCCCCCCCCTCAAAAAAAAAAAAATTTAACCAAATGTCCGTCTATGCAATTCACATGAGAAATTTACAAGAAATCTCCTACTATTATTAATTTTAAGATTCGAAATAATGTTCTAAAGATAATTAGATAAAACTCAGGTTTTGAAGATAAAAAAAAAAATTCAAGATTCTTCATTTGGTCACTGCACAGAGTACGCGTATACTAATTTTATCAACCATTTCAGAATCATACTATATATATATATATATATAAATAAAAACGCAATTTCAAAAAGTATTTTTCATAAATCATTATTTCATCTTATCAATCATCACCGTTTTTTATATTCTTACACAATGTGTAATTAGTTCTACAGCCTTATTATGTGTTCAAATATTTCGTGTTGATCATTGATACTAGTGTAATATACTTAAACTCTTAGTCAAACTTAAAAATTGTTTTCTTTTCTTGAATATATTCAACCCCCGTGGTGATTTAACAAATACAAAACTTCAACGTTATTTTTGTTATGATTAAAATAGGTATCATATACCGTGTCAATGAAATTTTACCTGTACAGAGTAGACTGGAGTGAAGTGACGTTAGTTGTCGTGTGTGTGTTACCGTATACGGGTAATACTTCTTTGAGTATGTAGTCTTCAATAAATTGTAGTGACTTTGCAGAAGCTGCGTAGTCGCAGTACACAACTGTGCAAACAAAAAAACGTAAGATAAGTAATTTGTTGACAAAATATTTATAGTATGTTCTTTTTGTAACATAGGTGTTTAGCTAAATAAATAATTTCAAAGTAAAGTGGCATATTTATTAAGGCGCAGGATTGATGATACTCGAATATGTAATTATTTTAACGAGAATTACTTTATGTTCAAAAAAATTGTAAGATATATTTTTTTATTTTAATTAATTATAGGTTGACACCTAGTTTAACAGATGTAGTTTTAAAGAAAATAGAAGATAATAAAAACTAACAATAAATCATATTAATATGTATATAGATTTAACAAAAATTTATTGATAGGAAGATCACATAAAATGTTAAAACTAATATGTTTTATAATACATATTGTATCATTATTTTTGAACTAGATGTATATTATTTACTTTCATTACGTTATGGGTCATATGGTTTATTTTTTAAATCGTATAAAATATAAATCGACTGAATTGCAAGTAATATAATTACAAAAAAAAATATTTGAAGAGTAAATAAATTGGAAAATTCTGTAATATTTTTGATATATTATAATACATTTTCTCGAAATTAATAATTTTGAAGTATATTTAAGTACCCGTTTGAATATTATTAAGAAATAAAGTTAATAACTAATGTATATGAATTGTAAAATGTTGTTTTTTTAACTAAATAAACATAAAATTAAAATTCTATAACCATCAAACCATGAAAAATTTAACAGATGTTATAAATATTAAATTTACATAATTTAATTTCAGTAATATCTTTCTTCTGTGTAACTTTACCTACTTCATGCACGATACAAGATGTTTCAACAATCATAAATATAATATAAAACAATATTTAGTAAACAAGTATACGTATAACTTATGAATAATTACCACAAAATTTATAAAATGTTATATTTATACATTCTTGTTATATACAGTAGCCAGGGCCGCCAAGGTGGGGCAGGGAGGGCTAGAGCCCCGGGACCCGTACGCCCGAGCGGGCCCGTCGTTTAGGCCATATATATAATGTTTTTATTGTATCAAAGTATGTACCTACAAGCATAGATGTGTACACGGGAGTAGCAGGGTATGCACTTGCACCCCCCGTGGGATGAAGCGGCTACTGCCGCAACCCATACCAACTTTTTAAAAGAACAACGTGAATCCGCATAATTATCTGTTATAATGTATATGAATATAATAATAAGGATACGTTAAGATAGCGAAATGGATGTGTTTAAAAGGTCTCTTAGAAAAAGTCCTGGATTTGTTTTATTTTTTTGAGTATGATCCTTGAGTACACTCATTTAATGAAAAACCGGTTAAACTATACTCGGACAACCATATTGAGTTCGTAAGAATTATTATGGTTTAGGTTGCACCCTCTGCGAAAAAAGTCTGGACAAGCCTATGCCTATAAGTGGTCTTGGTCAAACAATTGTAAAGGGGGGGGGGCCCGGAACCGATCAACCCCGGGGCCTTGAAAAGTTCTCACCGGCTCTGACAGTAGCGCAACTAGGGCTAATGTTTGGGGGAGGGGGCATAAGTTTCCCCTAGTAATTTATGAAATGTGGCAACACACGGGCATTATTTTCCCATGTGACATTTTTACCATGCCGTAAATTTACGGCGCGTTTTGTTAAAATATATTAAATCGAATAGAGCACACAAGAGCACACAACACACGAGTGTCGCGCCGTAAAATTAACGCGCGACATTTCAGAAATTTTCGCGTGCACATTAACGTTATCGCGTGGTATAAATACCACGCGATGTGAAATCCCAGTCGAAATGCATTATAAGATGAAGAACACATACGCAGTAATAAAACGCGCGACTGATTAGTATTTTATTTTCAATATTCGTTCATTCGTCACTATCAAATACTAACAATCAACATATCGTCAAAGAAAGAGTCTGAAATCGACATTTTAAATTGATGTAGAACAGAAAAGTCAGTTAGATACAGAACTAGACATAGAACTTTTAATTTGGCTTATTGAAAATAGGAGTTGGGGGCAGTTATCCGAAAAAATAATGACTGGAATCGAAAGACGGCGGCATAAAATTTGTTGCCAACGTAAAATTTTTAAAAATTATATTATAAAATTATTTTTTTATTTAAGAAGTTATACTATTTCACTTGAATGATAATTATTTTATTTTTTGATAATATAAACATAATTAGTTACAAATAAAATAAACATAGGTATAAATTATATGAAATAATTATAAATTGTTGAATACTTATTTTTCAGTACATACTTAAAACTAAAACATGTAATATTTTATACTATTTACATCTAGCACCTATATATAGAAAATTAAAAATTTATAAGAAACATGTATATTTACGAAAGGTTTACATACAATTAAATATTAAGCTAGATATTTGTAAACATGATACATTACCAGGGCCGTATTTAGGAATTTGACACCTGGGGGCAACAATAAAAAACGCTTCATTATACCAAATACAAATTTCTGCGAGTTGAAAAAGATCTTTCTGAAGAACAATTCGTTGTTGGTGTACACAAAAACATTTTAAGTGCAATGTCAATATAAGGATAGATTATATGTAAATTTTTGGATTTATCGACAGTACTCGACCGTTCTTGAATATGTGTGTGTGTGTGTCGTGAAGCCGTGATTGGCGATATATATATTTTTTTTGAGATACATTTTTTATTTTGTAAAGAAGTTTCACTTCAAAAATATTAGATCATTAAATATTGAAAATATAAAAATTAGCCATCCTTTCATATTCATCCGGCCGGGGCAACAGCACCCTGTAGCTCTCCCCTAAATACAGCCCTGTACATTACGTAAATAAGTAATAGTTTTTATTAACAGGCATATGCAATTTTAGATTTCAGGACCACAATTTTACTAATTTATTATAATTTATGATTTTCCGGCAACTGGCGTAATAAAGTTGTAAAAAACTTCGCTGTAGTCGATAACGCCTTACAAATAATTTTCAAAAATACTATGATTTCGGTGAAATCGATAAACATCTGACTGGCACAGTACTATTACTAGGGTTCGGAAATTGTAACACTAAAAATGTTATTTTTTAGCTCTTAAATATGCACTTAAAAACTCTAAAATATGCGCTATAAATAGCACGAAAAATTAAAAAATATGCATTTATGTTGAAAAAATTATAAATTTATTAGAAAAAAAAAATTAAATGTAATTTTACAAATATTTGGGTTCGTAGACGTTAGGACTGATTGAATTACAAACTTAACAAAAATGTTAAATTAATTAAATATATTTGTAAAAGTTTACTTATAATTAAATGACTGTATTTAGTTACTAACTATTAGTACATCAAATTGTCGATGAAAAAATAAAATAATAATTGATGATGTCTATTTATTTCTAATAATTCAAATATTTTTAAAACTATAACTAATTAAATTATTATTATCAGCAAATGTGATTATTTCCTGTATTACATAAAAATATACCCAGAAAAAGCACTATAAACCCTAAATTAGCAAAATAGCAATAAAATCCGTAAATATGCAAGAAATAGCAAAATTAAATTTTGTGTATAATATCCAAATAATTTGAAGCATATTTGTATCTTGCTTTGGATGTTCTAGGATGAACCAAGAAAAATAAGCATTTGCTAGAACTTCCGAGCCCTGACTATTACCAATCTAAGGAAACCGATAATCAATAATTAGATACCAGACATTTATAACATATACACGATAATATACTGATCAAAGGTTCGTATATATTGGCCTGACCGGGTTGGCTAGACCATATGCGTTGCGACTATTGTGGTAATATAAAATCCATATTTTTTACCGAGAGGTAAGATTATCCTAGGATATTTTTACCGAGGGGTAAAACTTTCCTAGAATAATCGTACCCACCGAAGGGGGTATAATTAACCTAGGATAAACTTACCGGGGGTAACGACAACCAAGGATAATTGTACCGAGGGTAAAATATGCCTAGGAAAATCTTCCCCCCCCCCGGGTAATATTTTCCAGGGATATGATTTTGTCTGTCACACCAGCCACATATTATTGATAATCATATACCAACTTAAGTAATACAAAATAAATTAGCTGCACGGATACAGCGGTTAACTAATAAATTATATTATCATATTAACCAAATACAAATCGGCAAACATAGAACATAAAACAAATAATAAATAAAAAATAATAGGTAATTTTTTTTTCTGAAAATAAAAGTAAAGACGAGTTATTAATTTGAATTCTAGAAAACAATTGCCTAATTTATTTTTAGGGGGCTTTGGAAATTCTTGGGGGCTAAGCCCCTTAATTGCGCTTATATTTATACTAATTATTATAACTCATACTTTAAATGGATTATATCAACTCAGTTTTAGTAGTAAAATAAATATATATTTATAAAATCTAAAATACTTTTTTTTCGTAAAAACTTTCTCCTGGCAATTATGAACAATAAAAAAAATTTGAGCCAAACCAGGCCGGACCAGCCGTTTTTAATTGATGAAATGTTATATATTTTTGGCTCCATTTTTATATAGATAGATAATGGTAATATTTAAAAACAAAGCGTTTTAAAAACTAAAAATAAGTAAAAAGCACTGCAATATAAGCACTATATTATATTTTCTGAGGTGGATAAATATTGTTCCTATAAATTTAAATCGTTTGTAAAAAACGTGCATTATCTTCAACGATTATGTCAATAACTAATTGAGATTACCAAAATATATTGCAAGAATGTTTTTTGAATTTGGTAATCCATTTTTAACATTTTTAACAAAATTTTAGAAAGATTTTACACTCAACCTATGGTTACAGTTGAGCTCTGAAGGTTATAAATAACCTTAACTTCAAACTTATATTATATTATTATATAAAATACGAGTATATAATACTTAACTTAAAACGATACAAAATATGAAAAGTATTGATAGTTAATATCGTTCACACATATAATTTAATTTATTATAGTGAGTCAAAGTGTAACCGATAAAGGAATC